CTATACCGGAAAGGGAGAGTGAGTAAGCAGCTGTTTTTATCTGAAGTCACGATTCATTCAATATTTAATTTTTTCTTTTTTGTATGTGTTCAGGTTGTGCGTTTATAAAGATTTTGCATTTGTGTGCAGCCACACCCTGAAACACCCCCGCAATAGAAAACATATTTTATTAATTTCCACTGAAATTCTGCTGTTTTGTGCATTCAAGTTACTTCATATACTTCACAGTGCAGCTCGGGGTTGAGTGCTCTTAATGGGGATTTCGGGTGTATGGATGCGGGTTCCTCTTTCAGGGTTCAGAAACAACAAACAGCAGATGAGCAGCAGCTTTTTATATATCAAATGTAGCTATCTTTCTTTTTTTATTTTCTGTAAGCTAACACAGAGCTGTTAATACCGAAACAGGAAGTGAGGCGTTTTGTATGAAGAGGTAACACAAGAGCAAGAATGCTGTTGACGCGTATCCTGCACACCCTGGAGAAAACGAGCCGCTGAAACTTTGAAACTGAATATAAATAAAATAATAAATATTAAAAATTATTATTTAAACAAACATAGCGATGCCATACAAAGGGCCTGTGTAAGCCGCTAGCACAATGGTTGCGCACTGGCTCTGTAATTAGCTGAAGCGGTGCGAATACACAGAGTGGCTGTCTGCGTTATAGTTGTCGATAGCTCTGACGTATGAGGCATCGTCCTTGCAGGTTGTGAGCCCCTCTTCCTCAGTTTAAAAACACAACTGCAATGAGTGTTGTACACCTGGGGGGCGCGGGCGTCGTATGGGCTCTGCAGTGTGCCCTGAGTAGCGACTGGGTGCGCTGCATCTAGGGTTCTGCAGCATAGATTACATCTACTACAAGCCTCAGAAAGCGATCAAAGATTCTTTCGCGAATGCAATATCTTTCACCAGCAATCGCTGAGTGTGAAAGAACGACGTAGCTGCAGCATATCCATCGCGTGGATGCAGTGGTGCATCGTGATAGAAAGCCTATATTGGATGGTTCTTTTAAACTGTGCATTTTCTAGGACGTATGTTTAGGCCTTTTTCTTCGGGTGTGCAGAACATGGTTGGGGTGCTTCAGCGGGTTCTAGCGGCGGTGGTGATACTGCTGGTATTGCAAATGTTTGCTCTCCGGCTGTTGATGTGTGCTGTATAATCATTAGTTTCTGGCGATGCACGATAGGCGACGCTAGCGCCACTACAAGTTCAGTTGCGGCGGCGAAAGGGTCAGTAGTAGACACAATCCAAGGCGTCTTGTTGTTATACACAAGCACAGATCCTGGTTCCCTTTGTTGCAGAAAGTGCGTTTGTTGAGGATTATAATGCAGGCGTACAGGCGGGGTAAGAAAGGCTGTGAATTTGTTCCTTCACCGCTGCTGTTCCTATGGAATGTATGCAAGTGGATATATTTGCAAAGCCTGTAGTACCAGCAGCAGCAACAGCGACACCGCCACACAACTGAAACAAAAAAGAGAGAGCCTGCTGCATCCAGGAAGTGAGTTGCTGCTCATCCCCTTAGGCTGGTCTTCACGTGATTCACGGCATTACCACCACACTGAGAAGTGTAGAGTTTCTGCAAGGGATAAAGAATAAAAGTTTTGAAGGCATAATGCAAATACATGATATTTCAAGATAACCCGCGAGAGGATGATGCCGGGCAGTGGCTGCTTTACTACGTGCAGGATGTAAGTTTTGATTTCTTAATTGTTTTATATATGATGTGTAGGGCTTTGTGTATGGCATATACAAACTGAAAACCTAAAGAAAGAGATAAACAAAAACTGTTGTGATGCTCGACGGTGCTCAGTTTGTGCGTCGCTGATGCAGAAGCCGACAGCGCATCCCCACACACAATTATACGACACCATATGTATATTGTATATTGCGTTTCCGTTTCTTTTCTTCTCTTTATACAACACCAGAGCTCTACCCGCATTCGTTGGCCTGTGCTTAGACCTGGGGACAGAGCTGAATGCCTCACAAAGTACCGTTCCCCTTTGCAAGTTTCACACCACTTCTGCCTACATGTATTGCAGGCAGCAATCGTTTTTTTTTTGTTTTTTTTTTTCCTCTCCTCGAGCCGTTGCTTCACAGTGCATTCGTCAACGCATCGACCCCTTGCTGGCCTTCATTGACTCCCCTTCTTACAGAGCTTTGAATATTGCTGCAGCCGGTGCTGACCTGTGCTGCTGTTGTGGTTGCTGAGGTCCACCGCTTTCACAGCTTGTAAGTCTTCAGTCTCTCCACTGCTGTGAAAACTTTGAATTCCTTGGCAGCGCAGCCCGCCTGCAGCATCTGCAGGTTAGGATTTTCTTCTTAGTGGTTTGCCTTGCTCCAGCTGTATATGCTTCCAAAGAAACACCAGAGACACATGGTTTAGGACTTGATTGATTTTAGAAAGTGAGTTCTTCTCTTATAGTTTTTTGTNAACACCAGAGACACATGGTTTAGGACTTGATTGATTTTAGAAAGTGAGTTCTTCTCTTATAGTTTTTTGTCTTAATACAAATTGGTGTTAGCCTGTGCTCGGCCGTTCTGCTGGTGACGCCTGGCTTCATTCAGCGGCAGTAACGCTCACGAGAAGCTTTGCGGGGGCTGCCTGTCTATGCCTATTGCGACAGAGGCGTACCTGCTTAGACAGCTATATGTCGTATTAAACTGCTTTGATACTGGGTGTGGCGAGCCAAGCTGTATGAGAGAAGGATAAAGTTTATCTAAGATAACACGCGCATTACTTGTCTTAACTTTACGTTCTTGCAGAATGTACGCACTTGTTTTTCTGTAGGGTTGAAACCAGAAGATGCAACAAGCAGTCGCCAACTGCTTGCCTCTTATCTGCTTGAGTTGCAGCTCCAGGCTATTTTTTGCCGCATCTTCACTGGCCATTATATTCTCGAAATATGCTTCATATATTCCTGCTAGGATTTAGTTCGTTCTGAAGCTCGCAGCGCGTGGAGAATAGAAGCTGTGCTGGGCAGTCAACTATATAGAGTTTCGCTCCCCTACACAGACCGCAACCAAGCTATAAAGAGTGGGGTTGGGTTTCCCTTTGGTTTTAGTGATACCTAAAAGTTTAGGGTTTAGGGTTTAGGGTTTAGGGTGATTTCAGGAAGCTTCTATACTAATTCCGAGTGCATCCGTCAAAGCTTGTGCGTCCTACCCTCCTGCTTATAG